TGATCTGAGCGATGTTAGCTCTTGGGTGGAAAGATGCCACCATTGTCCTTAATATATATATATATATAACATGATAAAACACAAAAAGCGAGGTGGTTCCCGGAAGAATCTGGCCACCGACCTGGGCGTTCGGACCGCGTCTCTCACACCGATCGTCTGCCAGCTCCCGTGATCCGTGGCCGGCATCTCGCGCCCACGGCGCCGCAGCCCCCACGGCGGCACGCGCCGCACGTGCCGGCGGCGGGGCCTGCGGAGGCGCGGGGCGATCCGAGACCTTTTGACACCCTTTTTGGTGTGTCGCTTTCTGTTGAGAAGGAGAGATGTCACTAGATGTCACTATGTCACCTCCTCAATTTCAACACAGATTTTCTGGGTTTTTCTACAACTTCTCGACGATGTCGGACCGAAGGCCGCGACCTTGGCGCAGTTGGAGGCCCAGCTGAGGGCCTCCCAGACAGACTTTTGGGGCATGTGAGGCGTGACAGCCGGCGGTTTCACGTGGGTGGAGCTTTCCTGGACGTGGGTGGGCAGAAAGTGGTCAGGTTGGAGGTGTCCATAATGATTTTTGCATCCCTTTTGCAGAAGAAGAGCAGATCTTTCACAGGGCTCAGCCTGCCGCTGGCCTAGGACGAGCTCCGGTCCGCCGATTTGTCACCGGTCGCCCGCTGCGTCGATGCTGTGCCCGTTTGGCCCGCCGTGGTGTTTGGGGCTCTGTCTCCACGCGCGCGATGTGAGCGCCGCTCGCTGATTTGAACACCGCTCGCGAGGACGCGAAGACGACTCGCGACGCGGCGACGCTGCAGCGACGACGTCCCTTCATTTCTGGGCATTCTGAATACAGGATATCGGAGTGACTGAGAGCAGCGTGACTCCCATGTAAAGTATGATAGCCCTTGCTGAAAGATGTGTTTTTTTGGCTCTGGGTTCCATCCAAACCGGGCTTGAGTGAGTCGTGCTCGGGTTTTGTGGACCGTTCGGATTTCTTCACCACTTGGGATATACCAAACCCAACTTATATATATATATATATCATTATTAGATATTTTACTTTGTCTTCTTATCTGCGGTGGTGCAGAACTGCTTCCCTCCTCAACTCTGGTAGAACTGTTCCAGCTCATTCTGTGCTGTCCGTAACTTGGTGCGCGCTGCGAAGCCAGTAGAGCTGGCTTTGGCCTGGCCGGCCACAAATGTTTTTGGATGTTTTGACATGTTGGATGCCGTCGGATGATGTGGTAAGAGTCACATGCTGGGTTTTGGAAGGCCAAGACCGAAGGAGGAAGGCACGGCTCGTTCTTGACGCTTGAAAGACCGGTCGGCCCGGGTGGATTTTCGAGCCACTTTGAAACCATGGGGTTGGAGTGGAGCGTCACAAGTAGAAGTAGAAGCGTGTTTGGGTTGCACACGGAAAAAAGGCACCTTGGGACCGCAGCTCGCACTTCCCCACAAGCTCGTCTGAAGGACTTCAGACGCTGTCCAGCATATTCTATTTGACAAGGCCATCGTCCTCCACACAGAGTTGGCCGTTGCCGCGGCACGGAAAACAGGACGACGGCAAGGGACAGCGGTTCCGCGGTTTCCACCTGTGCGTAACGAAGCCCACCATTGCGCTCTGTCGATCGACCGTCGGTCCCTTGAAAAAACCATCCCCTGCCAGGTCGATCGGCGGAAGCCCGAACGAAGGGGCAACGGAGCTGCGAGATCGTTTCTCACGGCGCGAGCGAAAGATTGGAAGGTGGATCGCTAACTGCCAGACTGTGCTTGGCTGTACGTAGTCCTGAGTCATGGAGCCATGCTTGCCCATGCATTGCGCAGTCACGTGCAGCAAATGAGCGTCGTTTAGACTGTAGGATGTTGTGAGCTGCTGCTCAGCCCAATGCATATAATATGCAGATGCTTGGTCGATTCCGCTGACCTCGACCGCTCTTGGAGGACCGACTCATTGCGCGCCACGTGGCGATCTTCCACAACGCTTTCTGGTTCAAGGTCACCTTGAACTTGTCTGCATTGTGCCGGCACCGCGGGTTCCAAATCTGCGCCGCACCGATACACCGATACACCGATATCCCCCCAGCCCTGGATATCGGCGTGTCGGCGCCGCACCGATATCCCCCCAGACCCGGATATCGGCGTGTCGGCGCCGCACCGATATCCCCCCAGACCCGGATATCGGCGTATCGGCGCCGCACCGATATCCCCCCAGACCCGGATATCGGCGTATCGGCGCCGCACCGATATCCCCCCAGACCCGATATCGGCGTATCGGCGTATCGGTGCAGCTCAGAAAAACCCGCCATGCCACCACGCTGCTTTTCTGCACACCTGAGAAAAGGCAGGTGCTAAGCAAGGCCAGCAACAAACATTTTTTCTTTGGGGACTTGGTGCCCATATGAAACAAAAAATACGTATTATTCTTTGGGGATTAGGTGGTGATGGCGGCCTTCGTTGCACTTCCGCAGGACCGCCCGGAGAATTCGTTTTGTGGTTAATCATTTTTTTTGCGTTGGCGTGTTTTTGTGGTTTTATGGTTGTTTCTGTTGTGTGCGTTGCATAGTGGAGTGGAGGGTCTTTCAGTTGTATGTGCAACTCGGGCCGAATCTCATGTAGAAATGTTCTCGTTGTTGGGCGGCTGTCAAAGCATGTGCAAAGAAAATTTCTATATGCAAATGAAACTGCGAATCAAAATGATTATATAGAGAGCACATGCGGAATGCAGGGAGGTATTGTTTGAACACAGTGGGGATCTCTGAGAAGTTCTGTAAATATAAACATTTTGCAGTCTTTATTCATTGAACATTCCTTGTGTTTTTTGGCTTTGGGTTTTATCGTGTTCCATCCAAAGTGGGCTTGAAGTGAGTTGTGCTCGGGTTTCGTGGACCGTTCGGATTTCTTCACCACTTGGGATATACCAAACCCAACTCTCATTCGTGTCTTCCTATCCCTCCTCAACTCTGGTGGATGCCGTTGGATGATGTTGGTAAGAGTCACATGCTGGGTTTTGGAAGGCCAAGACCGAAGGGAGGAAGGCGCGGCTCGTTCTTTACGCTTCAAAGACCGGTCGGCCCAGGTGGATTTTCGATCCATGGGGTTGGAGTAGAAGTAGAAGCGTGTTTGGGTTGCACACGGGAAAAAAGGCACCTTGGGACCGCACCTCATCGCGAGACCTTTGTCTGGAAGTGCTACCTCAGTTGCGGTTGAAGCCCACAAGCTCGTCTGAAGGACTTCAGACAAGGCCATCGTCCTCCACACAGAGTTGGCCGTTGCCGCGGCACGGAAAACAGGACGACAGCAAGGGACAGCGGTTCCGCGGTTTCCACCTGTGCGTAATGAAGCCCACCATTGCGCTCCGTCGATCGACCGTCGGTCCCTTGAAAAAACCATCCCCTGCCAGGTCGATCGGCGGAAGCCCGAACGAAGGGGCGACGGAGCTGCGAGCGAAAGATTGGCTAGCGGCTAGCGGGGATGGAAGAGGATCCACCTTGATCGCTAACTGCCAGATTGTGCTTGGGTTTATGTAGTCATGAGTCATGGAGCCATGCTTGCCCATGCATTGCGCAGTCACGTGCAGCAAAAGAGCGTCGCTTAGACTGTAGGATGTTGTGAGCCGCTGCTCAGCCCAATGCATATAATATGCAGATGCTTGGTCGATTCCGCTGACCTCGACTCATTGCGCGCCACGTGGCAATCTTCCATGACGATTTTTGGTTCAAGGTCACATTTCCTGCACACCTGAGAAAAGGCAGGTGCTAAGCAAGGCCAGCAACCATACCAAAAAAAAATATTTTTCTTTGGGGATTTGGTGCCCATGGCGGCCTTCGTTGCACTTCCGCAGGACCGCCCGGAGAACTCGTTTTTGTGGTTGCTTTTGGCGTTGGCATGTTTTTGTGGTTTTGTGGTTGTTCTTGTTGTGTGCGTTGCGTAATGGAGGGTCTTTGAGCCGTATGTGCAACTCGGGCCGAATCTCATGTAGAAATGTTCTCGTTGTTGGGCGGCTGGCAAAGCATGTACAAAGAACTGTTCTATATGCAAATGAAACTGCGAATCAAAATGATCAGAGAGCACATGCGGAATGCAGGGAGGTATTGATTGAACACAGTGGGAACTCTGAATGGTTCTATAAATATAAACATTTTGCGGTCTTTATTCATTGAACATTCGTTGTGTTTGTCGTTGACGCCGCCCATACCTTCGCACAACATGAGTCATCTCCCGAACGCAAGAGGTTCACTGTATTACAGCGATCAGCGTTCGGACAACAAACTCAGTACGAGTCACGTTTGTTCACTTCAATGTATGAAACAGTTGACTCCTGTTTATTCATGAAAGTTGTTCCTTGCTGATGATGCATGGCAGGAGGGCTCGGTGGCGCAGGCAAGGCGGAGCGTGGTAAGAGTTCGGGTCGGCACAAAAAGGTGCATCCTCGCATAAATTTCCGGTAAGCCATGAAGGCCACCAGCAAAGGACACCCGAAGCTTTTGAACTGGCCATTATCGAGTGATTTAGAGTTTTCTTGTTGAAACTTTGTGAGTATCGTTTTGGTCAGCATGTGTCTCCACACGTGATAAAGGTGCCAGAAGCATGGAGCCCGCTCGGAGTTTGCGCAGGTACCACGGTTTGCTAGCTCGGGCCTGACTTCTGTGCCGGAGGTCCATGCCGGGCTAGCAGGAGAGGTGTAGTCCTTTTCGGCGGGTGTGGTGGTTTGGTGGCCCAGGCGGCAGTTGGTGGTTCTGCGGTTCTGCGTGTGGAACATTTGCATTGAAACGTTAGACAACTAAGCCTCAAAAACGAAAGATGAATGGGTTTGGCACCAAAGAACCTTCGTGAGCCCAACTTCCAGGTCTACTGCTTTCAGCACCGATCTCCCAACGTCTCGCGATAGTGGCCTTGGCCCGACACCCTGCCCCAGCCAACAAGTCCAGAGCCTTCTGCTTTATGCCATATCCGCCAGAAAGGACCGATCGACCGGATTCTTCCCAACCGGACCGACACTTCTCTCACAGGTCCGGTGCGCCCCCCCCCCCCCCCCCCCCCCGCTCGACGTCGGCGCTCCGCCTCAGCGAAGCGTTCGGACAACGCGAACCGCACAGAGGTGGGTGGGTTTTTGGGGTTCAGCCCGGACGGAACGAGGGGGGACGCCGGTTGGCGGCGGGCCCCCCCAAAACCCTTCTGACTGTTGGCTTTCTGGAGGGTGGAGAGATGGACGAGCACATGCGAACTTGGCTCAATGTGACTCAAAGTATGCCACAGATGCTGAAAGGATCCAACCTATAAGTGTGTCCAGCTCGTTTCAAGTGACCAAGTGACACAGATGTGACTTTAAAGGTACACACGGTGCCCATCACAGGCAACTCAACCAAGCGCCCCCTTTCAGCCTTCTTTTCAAGCCGCAAACAGCACACCTTCCAAGCAGACTCCATCTAAATTCGACAAGCATTTGGAAATCGATCTCGACAGAAGCATGTCTCTTGTTGCCGGTGGAGAGACAATTGAGGGGGAGAACGTGGAGCCACTTGGAGAAGGTAGAAGAGAACGGGGATTCTTGAACCTGACAGAGAGTTGGGGATGGTAGTACCTGCAGGCATTTCGTTCATCTAGTGAGTACTGATCAGTAGCAGCTTGAGGTGGACATCGATGGACATGGACATCTTTGTTCTGGGAGCTTCCATCTTGATGTGCTGGCAGAATTTTGATCATCAAGCGTAAGGGCCTGGAAGTGTTGCCTTTGAAGCCAGCAACAGATCACGGGCAGGGCAGGGCATGCAACTGGAAGATCTCAGTGGGCCCCAGACAGTAAGAGGGTTTTGCGGCACAAGCTCATGCTACTCACTAGATGTGGCTTCAACTGGGAGTTGTGGCATCCACTCATCACTCATGGAAGGAAGGGTCCTGAAGCAGAGATGAGGAGTCCACAGCATGTTTTCAGCATCCAGGGGAACTGCACATCACTGGTGCGGTGGGTTTTGTGCACTTCCTGGACACAGGCCTGTTTTTCAGTGTTGAGCATAAACAATTCGGAGTCCAAGGAAGGGTTCTGGTCAGGCTGAAGGAACTTGTGAGACCTTGACCTTGAGGATCGGGTTTTCCCACGCCTCCGGTCGCCCAGGTCGCCGAAGACCTACTTCCTCAACGGCGCCCTTTGCCAAGAGAAGGATGTCCAGGCGGGTCGCGAAGCAAAGGGACAGGTGGCTACTAGTAACAAGTGCCACGCTAGTAGTAACAGGTGCCTTACTAATAGTAACAAGAAGCTACGAACGGAACAAGTGCCTTACTACTAGTAACCCCAACTGATCCGGTGGAGCCGTGGATCCGGCGGTCGGTGCCGTCCGTCCGTCCGTCCGAACCGCCCGGCGCCCGGTGGTGGAGGGGGCACGAGACTGGCACGAGACTGGCATCGTTCCAGTGGTTCGATTCCGTGGCGCCCAGCGGTGATTCGTTCCCCCTGGAATTGTGGAACGTGCGGGGGGGGGGGCGCCAGGGGTCTACCAGCCTTGCACTTTTTGATGCCATGCGGTTTGTCTACAGTATGGGACTTGTGGCAAGAAAGATTGACTGGGCATTCTTCCTTGTCGATTTTATAGGAGGACCAGTTGCCTTGTCATGTCAAGCGTTGTGATCCGAAGTCTTGACATGACTTGTCCTGGTCCGTTCTTTGAATGACTGGCTTTGCCTGAGTATGCCAGACAAAGGCATGGAGCGGGCATCATTCCATTTGCAAAGAAACAGCCGAGCAAAGGGTGCTGGTTTTGGTGCGTGTCATGCCCCGCCAGAAAGCAGTGTACCTTTCTCTCGACAAGGCACAAAGCCTGCCCGAACACTTCTGGGTAGTTAAACCATGTTAGATGGCCTTGGATGGTCTAACAGGCGCCCTTAGATGGCCTTAGATGGTGGTTGGGGGGTAAACCTTTCCCAAAAAGAGCCCTTCATGGCCTTGAGTGACTCAAGAGGCGCCCCGGCGCAATGTGGCGAAGCTCCTGGGCACCAGCGAGAACGGCACAGCGCCCCTGCGCCCCAGTGTGGAGCGGTGGGTTGATTGAATCGACCACAAGTGACCATAGCTCACGGGTTTTGTTTCTTATTCCTCACGCAAGACAGAACATTTTCAGGAGCAGGGGATTTGGCACCAGGCCCGAAGGTTAGACCCCATTCGAGAAATGTGTGCAGGAACTCAGACGTTTTGCCAAGCCTTGCTACATTTGGCGGTTTCCCAGTCAAGTTCATTAGCAGTGGATTGCAGCCTTGATGAGGCGCCGCTTGCTGCTTTTCGATGGGCAATGTAGGCGCTGCTTTTTTGGCGGTGTGTTTTCTCTGAACAGAAGAGTCTTACCATGGTTTGATCTATATAACCAAGCAACTTCCACATGCTCAAGAAATGGCATGTTCTCTTACCATGTTCGTGTTGCCTTTGGCCACTTTCAAGGATTGGTCAATCCTTTGGAACATTCCTAGGTTTTCCACCATCGTGGAGGATGGGATGGCTAGGGAGGTTAGCAGTTCCAGCAACAAGCGGCCAATTATTCACGAGATATCTTGAAAAGGAACGCCCGTGATTGGGAAAGGGGGCGAAAGCCACCTTCAGACCCAAAACGTGTAGCCAGGCTGTGCCTGGGCTTTGTCTCCATCGTCGTAGGCAGGGAGGTTTCTGTTAGTCGCATCCCGTACAGGAAAGGTTTCGATCAGCTTCAGGTTGAGAAACAACTGTTTCATGATTACTTTGGTTGATTCTGGAGTTGATTCGGGGGTTGATTTGGGGGACCGGGGCTTCAAAGAAGACATTTGGATTCGTCTGGATTCCCTTGGCTTCGTTTCGAGCTTGCGACGGACGCTGGTGTTGCTGGCGAGGTAACTTGCTTGGTTTGGTTTGCTGCGTGTGATTGTCAACAACCATTACTAACTGAAACGTAGTGTTTAGTTTTCTTGTCTTGCACTGTTGCTCTTATGTTTGCTGCTGTCCCTTTTTTTCTGTGCTGTGTTGGGGTTTATGTCTTCCTTGAGGTTCATGCTGGGCTGGCTCTACTAACTCTGGTGCCTTGCTTGCTTTTTGTCGGAGTTCCCCCCTTTTGCACGAAGCTCTGCTCCTGCGACCATAAGATCTCCAAAAGAAGTGTCCTTTTTGCCGGTGGGAGTCTTCCACACGTCGTCTTCTCCGTGTTGGGAAAGGATGAGAGATGGATGAGAGATGGATGAGATCCCTGGATGTTTTCTTTCTCGTTCTGCTTAGTCTCGCCCCGGTCAGGACGAGACTCTTCGGATCTCTTTCGCTTTGCACCTCTTCAGAGCGATCTGGGACAGGCCGCCAATTCGGGGCGACGCGGGCGCCGCGAGATGGGGTGGATTCGGAGGTGTTTTCGGCCTAAGAAGGAGGTGAGGCTTCCCCAATCTCTCGTGGAATGGTGGAAGGAAAGCAAAAAACACATGCCTCGGGGTGCCATCATGTGGCACCTTTCTTTTCTTTCGGTTTGTCGTCCTGCTTCTCAGGAGGTGCTCCTCTCGCATGGTGTACCTAAAGGCGGGGCCTCTGCATTGGCTGGTTGACTTCGAAGGAACCATGATCAATTTGGAACTAGGACCAGATTCCAAACCAAGGTAGGCACCTTTTGTTACTTGGAAAGATCAGGCTGGACATCACCGGAGAAAGGTCCCCTGAACGTTGTCAGCCCGCAGCCTTGGAATGGATGACTTGACCAGGAATCTGAGGTAGTCGTAGTCGTTGTCCTTTTCCTTCGAAGATCACCAACTGGGTGACTGCCAAACAGGCCAACCCTGAACCCAACCCGAAACCCTAAACCCAAAGTCCGCCAATCACACATGAAATATGGAAGTTCATCCAAACCAGCGACCATGCCATCGAACATGCTGCCTGACTCCAAGGACCTCCGACCTCCTTCGCACCACTTCCTCGCCTCTCGGTCGCTTCGGGTGCGCTTCGGGTGCTGCGGCCCCGGGACGCGCGGCCAGATATTGACTCCGTGGTGCTGCTGCGGGATGGTGAGGTCTACACGCACAGCGACGCGGCCCTGGAGGCCAGGTGGAGGTTCTTGAGGTTTTCGATGGTTGGAGGAGGTGGAGGACTGGAGGTTTGGGTTGAAAAGAATGTCTTTACGGTAAAGATTCTGGGTGGAGTCTGTAGCTGCAACTCACGGTATGCAAGGTATATATATATATATGTAGACATATATATATATGTTTCTATTCTATTTTCGATTGGATTGGACAGATGTTGGACATCCCAGTTGATATAGACACAGTTGGCTGCAAGCACGTGTCGACCAGGAAGAGCACTTCACCACTTCACCATGTCAAGTTCCCCACTTGGATCTACATCCATTTCTGACATCACCCATTCTCCACCCAGGTGGATGGATCCACCCACAGATAGATGGATCACTTGCAAGCGAACTGTGCACCGACATCGCGCCATCTGCACTGTTCTGCGACTCCCGCCTCGCTGTCGGCCTCGCCTTGCCAGGGGCGTTTTGTTCAGCTCAAAAGGGATCGTGCGGCGGTTGTTCAGTTGTCTCAGCTCACCGCTTCATCCGACAACCCATGGCTTCCGCGGATGCACGCAAGGAGCAGGCCAGGTGCACCGGTATGTTTGATGTTCTTTTTGCTTTGAAGATAGCTGCCCAAGGCCGAATCTTCAATAACATGCACGTACTATATTAGATGCCCAATAGATAGCCAATTGCCAGGAGTATCACATTATGGTGCAGCAAGCACCTTCAAGCCACTGGCAAATGATTCCTTGGCATTCTGCTTTGTTCTTGAAGAAGCGAGCCTAAAGGAGTGCAGATGAATCTTGCTTTGTTCAGGAGAGCTCTTCCCAGTCAACACAAAGCTTTAGCTTTGCACAGTCCCAAACACTTCCTTTTGAACCACCCACTGAACAACCGGGCCAAACCCCGCCCCCGCTCGCCCGCTCCGGTGGTTTGCTCCGCTGTGCTTCGCTGTTTGTTGCTCCGCTTTCAGCCCGTCGGACCGGCTGTTCGGTTCGCCCAAGCAGGTCTTGGCGTTGCAGCAGGAGATCCTGGAAGCCTCCGGTTCGCCCAAGGCGCAGCCTCTCGGCTCAGAGTCTCTGGGAGTGAAGACTCCCGCGGAGAGGAACGAAGGCGTGGAGGTCTTTGGGAAGGAGACGAAGGTGTGGGAGGTTGGGTGAAAGACTGTGGTTTGTATAGGAGAAGTGATGAATGAAGACCTCTTAGTCTTTTGCAGGGAAGGGTGCACAAAAACATCGAGCTTCCCTGTTCAGCGGCCTCTTCCCTCCACGGATTCTCGGCTTCGTGGCGCCCTCTCCCGAAGGCTTCTCTCCCGGGTCGCTGCGTCGTTCGCTCCGCGAACCGAGACTCCTGTTGGTTCGCCTTGGGGCTCCCAAGGCGAAGGGTCCGAGAGGGCCTGAGCGGTGTGGAAGTCGAGAAGGAGCTGCGTGAGGAGTTGGCTGTGAAGCATGGCCTCCCCAAGGGCAAGGAGGGAGCTGGTGGGCGGAACGGCCAAGAGGGTGGATGGCGGCTTCTTCTAGGGGATGTGGTGATGGGTTCGGCGATTCTTCGGCATTTGAGCACCAAGTTGGGAATCTTCGACTGAGGTAAGCATCACCCATTACAGTACATGGAAATTGCCCACGAGTGTTTGTGGTGATTGCTCATCCCAGGCGGATCCGGATGGTTTTGGTGGGGCAGGTGGAGTAATCATTTGAGCATTTGGGGGGGAAGCCACCCGCCACGGCTGGTCTGGAACTCGAAAAAGGATCAGAATCACCAACATCATTCGTACGCAGATCGTATGCAGGGCCGCTAGCTCGGGTTTGTGCACAGATTTTGGGCGATGAATCCAAGCCCAGCTTGGGGGGCCAACTGCTTCCCCCAAAGCACCAAGATCTAGGCCTTCAAATGTTGGTGTTGGCCCCCATTCTTCTTGGAAAGAAGTTGAACTCCAAAATGCCACGGGTCGGGAGTTCTTCAAAGTGGCAGGGATTCGGCGTGCCCGCAGGACCTTCAAAAGCTTTTTGATGATCTCAAGGACGAAGCTTGGTTAGTCATATCCTCTTGGAGGAGAAAGGTTGCGCGAAATATGGCTGGCCGTTCTAGCTGGAATCATGTAGCCGCACAGTGCCAGCTAGGCATGCGCGGGATTTTGCATCATACACTTCTATCCACGGCCTCATAGAGTCCAGGTATAGTTTCGCCATCAACAGGATGACCAAGTGATGACTACAAGTCGTAGTTGGGCATAGCTCTCCACACCTTTCGTGCCCATTTTTGGCCGCAGCCAGGGGGCCGACGGAGATTCGCCGCGGCATTGGAACCCCCAAAAAAGCATGTCTGGTCGATTTCCTTGAGCTTGTGACTGACCTTGTTTCAATGGGGGGGGTCCTAAGGACCTCAGCCTCTTCAACCGATTTCGGATTTCAGGATATTTCCGGCCCCAAGGACCTCAGCCTCTTCAGATCTTAGAAGCTCTCTACACACGAACGCTAGGCATTGAATACCGAACGCTGCAGTCGTATATGCTATCGCTGCGTTGGGCGACCTGTTCTCACCTGTTCTCAAGTGGTTCGATCTTCGCACCTCTCTCAGAACAATCCTCCGAGGACCCCGACGTGTACGTCAACGCGGAGTCCATCCGTGCGGCGCTGGAGGCAGCGCAGCCGGCGAAGGAGAAGGATGCTGCGATGCCACCAGGAGACCGGGCGAGAAGAACATGGGTGGGAATGTGGTGAAGGTCGTACGCCCTTTGTGGGAATTCTTTTTTGAGGGATATTTGATGGATCACGAAACAGACGGCTTGATCTTCTTGGAAGCTATGCAGATGGACATTGGCCTTTCCACAGACATGGGTTGGACTTTGGGAGTTTTTAGGGAACTTGCTCAAAGACACGTGGGGTGTTGCGGGGGGTTTTCCATGCTCGGTGTGTGTATCTCCACGTGTAAGTCAACAAAGTCCGGGATCCATGGTTCGTGATCAAGCCCAGTGCCATGAAATCAATAGTTTTAGCAACATTTATAGCGTCCACATAGAAGTCAAAAGGTGCATTTGGAAGATTTGAGCAGAGTCAGAGTGAGATTGCAATCCTTAGCGCAAACGGGGACTTGGTATGCCTAGAGGCCTAGAGTCATTTTGATTGGAGCAACATGAGATTTTGATTGCGGTTCTACATTTGCATGCCCAGGCGGCTTTTGTGAATTAAAGCACTCTTTCTAGAACAAGTTGCACGTTTTCGCGCTCTTAGACCCGACCCACTCATTTGCGATCCTTTTTGGTTTGGAACAAGTCACGACCCCCAAGATTGCGGTTTCTCTACTTGCACGATCAACCGTTTCATGGCTGCCCGCCGTCCACTCTGGATTGGATTCCATTCATTCCAAAGACACACGAAAGGAAGGATCAATGAATGGAATCCATTCATTTCAAACCAAACTCTTAGGACATTTTTCAAGAAACACTTGACACTTTGGATTGGACTTCCCAGCCAACGCTCCCAGCCGAAAGGGAGTTTGTGTTCCTTTTTTGGAGACCGGCCGGTCGTTTGGAGACCGGGACGGCCCCGTCGATGGGGTTCAGATCCTTCCACTCCGTCCAAGGATCCTCCAAGAACAAGCAGGGCATGTGCCTTGGTGAGGTCTGGACCGAGTGAGTCAGAACGCCGAGAACGGGTGAACCACTGGTGGGGGGGGATGAAGACAAGAAAGGTGTGCACTGTGTACAGGCATGGAGTGGCCATGCCAGCATGAACATGGCTTCAAAGAGAGTATGCAAAAGCTAGGTCTATGCCTATGTATTGCCACCAACGGTTTGGAAGGTCAACATCATCATCCATCTTTTACCATAGAATGGGACACAGGCCCAAATAGCTTCAGGCCTGTTTGGCGCTGCCCGGCCAGGCCCCTTTGCCAGTCCTTTAGAAAAGCTGGTTGGGTTCTGCCAAATCTCAGTGTCAGAGTCTTCGGTAGGCTCATCCAGTCCGGGCGTCACCCATATCTGAAGTCACTTGGAGGTTTCCGATGCCAATTCAAAGCAGAACAGTCGCTGTGATTGCGATGCCAGCCACCAGCTGACATCCCCACAAATATCTTCAGGAGACAGGCTGCAACCCAGCAAAGTATCAGGCCATCACGCTTGGACGCCTGTTCCACGTCTTGACCGGAGCGTGCTGCTGTGATCCATCCGAAGCCGACCAGCCCGCGTGGTGCGACCAGAGCGGTCTGGCCTTCGGCCATGGCGTGCCGCGAGCTGAGGATCCGCTTGTTGAAGAGCTTGCTGAGCAGCTTCAGCGAACCCGACTTCCAGAAGGAGTGCTGCACTGCCCGAGCCGAGCCGCCCCGAGCGCGAGCGGTGTGGGCGGTGGACTTTGGGGGGAGAAGAGTAGATCCATTGCTACAAGAGTTTTTCCTCCAACGGCGAGCCAGGTCACTATTGGAAGTCATTCCACAATACTCAGTTCATCGAAGTTGGTGAGTGACGATCACTCTGGCCCTAGCCATCAGGGAGATGACTTCCTTGGCCTTGAGGTTATGAAAGTACATTGGCCTCTCATGAGCCAGGGTGAACCACCCCAAGTCTTTGCGATAGAAATCCTCAAGAGTGATCATCAATTCTGAGTTCTCCACTGCCTGTCCCGACCATTTCCCGTACGCCATGCGCTTCCCCAGTATCAGGAGGTGGAGAGGCTCAAGAAGAGTGCTGGCAAGGACTTGGCGGATCAGGTGCGAAGACTGGTGACCCGTGGGGCGCTTCAGACGATGAAGGAGTGGCTAACTCCAGTGGATAAGGAGTCTGACGATGAAGGTGAGGGTGAGGAATGGTTAGAACTGAAATGGAGTTTTGGGTGAAGAACGGGTGTGTATTTTCGGTTTGAAGATGAAACATCGAGAACCTGGAAGCTGCGTACTATCAGGTATACGGCATACGGTATTCGGGATTGCTTTGGCTGTAACGTTGCAGCCCCTTGCTTCAGGGGACTTCCTGAGAGATCAACGACACCAGCAAAGTTCTAAGACCTTGTTCACCAGATTACCACCCTTGCCTGCCTCAGCAAAGGGAAAGAAGGCTGAGGAATGAAAGAGGTGGGACGTCCACTAGGTGGCCGTGTGAGTCTGTTGGTTCCGTTTATTTTACCCCCGCTGTGAGCCGATGTGGTCGATCCTGACATCCACCACCTGGCCCCAATGTTAGGCCAAATGGGCTTGGAAGGGGGAGGGGGGAAAAAGACACCCAGCACCCGCCAGGGCTTCTATCAACTGCCGGGCCGTGCAGAGTTGGCCTTTGCGATTCAAGAGCAACTCTTGCCCTGCTTCGGAGCCTGGGTTTGGCGGTGAGGATGGGTTGGCCGTTTGGCTGTCGATCTGGAGTCAATCAATCGGTTTGGGCAGATGGTTTTGGGTGATGCCTTTCATGAACCAATGAACCAGCTCAATTTCTATTGGGACAGATTGCAATTCAGAGCCCGAGCTTTTGAACGCTTGGTGCCGCTAGTGGACCTGAAGAAGACCTTGCTTTGCCGAAGTGAGAACCATGAACCAGATTTCCGATGTCCAGACACCCTGCCAATTCTCCTCTGGATCCAGGGGAACCTGGTGGCAGACCGTTGACTTGAGAACTAGGCCAACCATGTCTTCCAAAAGGGGATGTTCCCCGTGGTGTTGACCATGCCCTCACACTCGGGTGCCTTAGGATCCGTGGCCTTGTGAACCGAGCTCCACCGGTGGGCACACCGATTCGGCGGGAGCTTCTGTTCGCGGAAGCATGGGTGAAAAGGAACAGATTCCCCTGAAAAGGTCTTGATATGTAGAGTCTATAGTCTCTAGTCTATAGTCTGTAAGGGATCATCAATGGCATCAAGCCTCCATGCTCCGTAGGGTGAGGTTTTGATCCACTTCTCAAAGCTGCTTTGAATGAGGACAGCAGGAGCACCACAAAGGCGACATCCTTTGGTGTTCGGACTCAATAAGGTCGGGTGCTTCCCAATGCGGTGGGAATCCAACATGAGATTCGTCGTGGTCAACCCAGCCCAGAGGTGATGTGATGGACATGGGTGGCGCAGCCCTTTTGTTTTTTCCCAGATCAAGGGAGGGTTCTTGGGATCCCCGACCCAACCCACGTAGAATCGCACCACCAAACTCACAACTTCCGTACCTCTCACAGCGCCCTTGCCTGCCGAGGATTCGAGGCCGAGTGTGGCGGGGGTCTGAAGCACCTGGTCGTGAGGTCGTAGTGAAACATCCACGGAGTTTGGTTTGTTGACTTCGGAGTCTTTTTTGTGCGGAGATGTTCGATCACCCTGCTGGTTGGAGCAAGTCGGGACACCACTTTGCACAGTGGGTGAGAACTGGCCTTCCTTCATTCGGTGCATTCTTGTGGGCTTCTCCACATTGAGACCTGGTGAATGATTGGGACAATTTGTTCGGTCGCGTCATGTCTTCCAGCGCTTTCCAGCCGAGCCGAGCTCCGGGCCGAGCTCCGCCCATGCGGAGTTCGTCGGTGTTGACCTCTGCGGGAGGCCAGCAAGTCCGGTGTGACCGATATGATCGGCCACTCTGCTGCAAACACGTGGTTCTCTCTCCGTTTGCATGGGTCATATGGCGGACATGTGGCACTCCTACTGAAGCACTGAAGGTCCGGACTCCAGGGCCTGCCTTGGAGCTGTTGGCCGAACATCTCCAGCCATTGGACGCAATGGCTTCGTTGCCGCCGTTTCGTCATGGTCCAATTAGCTTTTTCAATCAAACACTTCACCTCAGAAACAATCCCTTCAGCTTCACCTCTTTTTCACACCGAGGTCCTCCACCAGCCTCATCCTTTCGATGTTCTTCGGCAACCTGTCCCCCCTCCTCCCTCTCCAAGGCGTCATGCACCCAATGGTCACCGGCCGTAGAAGGTCCCTTTCCACCCTTCGCAACGAGGCCAGTGCGCCGCCTACTTGGAGGACCCCGAGGTGGCTCAGCTCTTTGATTCCGTGAACGCGTGCGGCGCCCCAAGAGCCGCCGAAGGGGTTTGCGGCCGTTGGGCGCGGCAGTCGGGGTGGGACACCGAGGCCGATGTGCAGAGAAACCAAGATTTCTTTTTGGGGTTGGTGTGCTTTTCTTGCTTTTCTTTGATCATTGTTTTGCTTCTTGTTTTTGTTATACACCCAGGTGGGATAAATCTCCCGAGCCGCCCTGAGCCATGGCGCAGTCGTCCATTGATTGAAGGCATGACCAAAGTCAGATGAGGTCAGAGCACAACAGCACACATATCTCCAGAATCTCTCACCCCCAATGCCTTTCTTACGAGTTTTGTATGCATCTCAAGGCGAAAGAAGAGCATCATCCCATCGTTTTGACAGAGATCAACTTCCCCATCCTCCCCTGAACTGCTTCATTCCATCCTTCTCATCCACAGGAAGCTTGGGATGTCGCCGAGCGCGTGCGCGAAGTTCCGGGAGAAGGCCAAGCTGATGCTTCCCTAGGCGCGGCCGAGCTCAACGCGCGCGCGAGCGCGCGCGCGCTGGCGTTCTGCTAGTTCGCACGCGACTTCGCTGGGGGCAGATGGATCTGGGACAGGGTCGGATGTTGCAACTGTTCAGTTTCAGAATCCGACCGACGAGTTGGTGACTCCGGGCTCCAATGGATCTGGGTCGGTTTCTTCGGGTTTGGGGGGTTTATACGGAGTGGAAGCTGGGGAGGCGATGTGGGGGTTCTTGGACGGGTGAGTTGAATGAACTGGTGAACTACTCTTTCATCCCGCCTCCATCACCGTTTTGGGAGGCACTTCGAGATTGGGCCACGGCCTGGGCCCACCCTTTGTTTGGTGTCATTTGGGTGTCATGAAGCTTGGCTTCATACAGTTATTGACTGGGTCTGACGATGCCGGTGGTTTGAAGCAGCAAGCATATCCTTTGCCTTCTCTTCTTTGTTTGCTTTTGTGCATGCCATCCACGCCTCGCTTGAGGCCATGCAGAGGGGGTATGGACAGATAGGACACCCTCACCTCCGCTCGGCACGTGGTGCAGGCCATGAGACGCTGGCGCTGCACGTTGAATTCACATTTCTTTGGGGGAGCAGGTGCTTTTCTCGTGGCCAAGTCTTCCTCTAACGGATTAAACATTGTTGGAGAGAGCTGTCAGGGGGGTATCATACTCCCACAGCTTTTCAAGGAGTGATGGCCTTTGTGGGAGACCATTATGGAGCTGATCTGTGCAGGTCATGTATACACAATGGCTTTTCGAGGAGCAAAGCACCTATGACAACAAGATGCTTGGGCCATCTAGAACTGCTCCCCCTGCATTTTTGAGGCCTTCCAGCGTGGCAAGAGTGCACACAAGGACCATGGATGGGTGGCGCCCACACACAAAGGACGGTTGTTAGCTGCGAAGTTTCCTCGACCAGCTGTGGGTTGATGCTACGGTTGTTGCTAGCGGCGTCAATGAAATTGACCACGGATAGTGCTACCACCATTTGGAGCACCCGAAAGCAGGTCTTGCCGTTGGACTCTGGATCGCAAGAACACCAAGTAAGGAGCACGTGGGACATCTTCACAGTTTGGGATGCTCACCAAACTGATATGGAACCCATCACGCGACCTCCTACGTCTTTTGGGGAAAGAATCGTTTTGGAAAACACTCATATGCCCATAGGTTGCTGACACTGTACTACCTGTGGTCGTGTGCCCTTCACATTTTACTGGAGCTGACCGGGCGAAACCAGCAGTTTAACGCTGGATGGGCAATCAAAATCTCCGTGAGTGATGAGCAGGACTCATCTCGACTCAACAATTCTAACAGGTCTACCTGGCGACCTATCCTATCCGTGTACCTGACATACATCCACCGACATACAACCTCTCACACTTGAGTGATGACCCCAAACCCTGCAAGTGGATGGTTTGCATGGGATGAAAAACGCCAGTTCTTCAAGTCTTCACCAGGTGAGTCAGGCTGCTCAGTTCAATAGGAGGCGGCAGATTCTGGTGGCCCAGCAAGTCAGTCTCTGGATCGTTCAAAGTCCACCGGCCGAAAAGTTTTGTCGGACACGACTCAGCTGGGGCCCAGGCTGGCCTGAGAGAGCGAGGTCGTAACATGCCGTGGTGCTCCTGTGAGTCCAAGTGGATTTCAAGGATTCTCCGATGCGGGTCCATGGGTGCGGTTTCTTTTTTTCTAGAAGCAAGGACGCTGCGTTCGTAGCTCCTGGCCTTACTAGGAACAAGAAGCTGCTAGGACCAAAGGGCATCGCTACTAGTAGCAAGGACGATACTAAGTTTCTTTTTTTGGTTGGGCAGTCGAAGCTCCAGCAGAGACGTTCTGGGTTGATGAATTCATACATCAGCTGCGAAGATCACCCATTGAGCAGTGATTTGTTCGAGGAAATGCTGACCTGCCAGAGAATTGCAGGGCTTGTACTCCATTTCCTCCGCAACCACAACCCAAATCCCTCAGCCACCTGCAGTTCTTTTCTTGTTGTGTTGCGCCCGTGGCACAACTTGTTGGTCCAACCTCATGATCAACCTTGATCTCAAGGGGTGGCCTTTTGCAGATCTTGCCATTGATTTCTGACCGCCGGCTCTCGGCTGCCGACGACGCGCGACGTCCTTTTTGGCCGGAAGCATAGCGGGTGGTCGGACAGGTGGTGCTAGAGTGGCGCCACAGGGGCGCGAAGAGCTCCAAGGAAAAAGAATTGGCAGCAGTGGAAGAGTCGATTTTTGTCATCGGAGGTCTTTCTAACGTCGTGCTTGAAATGGGCTTGTTACTCAAGGTTTCAAGAGCCCTCAACAACACCAGAGGAATTTGTACGTTGTACCACTAGAATGTCACCTAGCCAAAAGTTTCAGAATCTCCCATACATTCGCACATCGTTTTTGCCTCCGTTTTTGCCCAGTTGGCACCGGCAGCGTTGGCACCGTCAGGTCCTTGGGGACTTGGATGGCCTAATCAGCGGTCTTTGGGGCTTGAAGGTGGGGGACAGGGGACCTTCGAAGGGGATGAGGAGGGGACGGGGTTGGTGCGCAGAAAGGTTTGTGGATTCGTAGAGTTCCTGGAGAGTGCTTCTTTGTGAAGGTCGAAGATTGGGTGGACGTGTCTCTTCTTTTGGATTCTTTTTGGAGTGCACAGGCATGGCACAGGCATGCTCACCTCAAATCCAACATGTTGACATCACCGTGTTTTGAACTCCCACTTCAAAGGTAGATGAACCATGTGTTCATCCATGTTCTACAGCAGAAGCCACCTCTTGAGTTTGATGTGCCATTTACCTCGTCCAAACCGCTCCATGAATCACAGAAGCGACACACAAGATGAACAGATCATACACAAGACTTCATACCAGATCAACAAACCCATACGGTATGGATGAGGGTGTCTATATATGTGCGACAGCTTTTTTTTCTTCCCTTGATGTTGTTTGTTTTTCGTCGAGTTGTGCTGAACTATCTGGGCCTTTCTTTTTGTCCAGGTTTTGGTGCAATCTCTACAAACAAACTTGCAAAACACATGTAGGCACTTCCGAGTCAGCACCAAGTGAACGGAGTGTCACATGGAGCTGGTGATTAGGACTCCACCAGCCCATCCGCCCATCCGGACCCGCCCACGACCGCAGTTCCTCCGGCCCCCAACCGCCTCAGATCATCCCGCAGTTCCTCCGCGACGCCGGCTATGCGCTCGCGGGGGCGGCCCAAGGGACGGCGCTGGGGATGATGGGGGACGCCGCAAGTGTTTCACGGAGGAAGAAGAAAAACAAAATATATATGCTTTATGTTTTTTCTTTTCTCCTCCAGTGACTGTTGGAAGAAGATGGGTGCAAAAGCTTCAGTCGTTTCTAGAGTTGTGAAGATGGGACGTTGGTCGTCAAGATCTACTGTCTTCAGCAGCTGTGAACAAGACAGGTTGCTTCATTCACTTCGGATCGAGACAGGTATGTTTTGGTCTGATACTCCCGAAGCTGGACGTTCTTTCTGAAATACTTTGTTGGGGCTATATAACCTGGTACCAAGCAGGGTCAGGATTGATTCGCTTGGAGCAGCCAAACTGGCTGGAGAACAAAGGGAAACGCCAGAGGAACAGCGGAGAATGATGCCCACCAATGGCATTTCTTCCTTGAATCAGAACATGGCAGAAAGGAAGGCCTTGTTGAAGTTTCATGCAAGTTGATAGACATGTCTCCAGTTTTGGTAGAAATGTCTCAAGATCCGACGGCTGTTTGGTGATCTTATGTTCGCCGGTAGGTTGATGACTTATATGTCCTGGCCCTTTTGACGACAGACAGCACGGGAGACGTGTACCAAGTCGATTCTTCCCGAATTCTCAGAAGCAGGACCTTTGGACTGACCAGTGAGTGCAGATTGATGCAAGTGTTGTTATTCAGTGACACAAAAGGATCATGGATTCTATTGATGGATTCTATTGATGCCATGGACTATTTATTGATGTCCAACTACTCCCCCCACTCCTCTGCGGCTGCTCGGGGCCACCACCACTGGCTGGGTGGGTCGCGGTCTGCTCGCTCGCCTCGTTGGGTGTGTCGACCCGTGGCCGCTTGGCACGGACGCTGGAGGTCGCCAAGAGCCGTTTTATGCTGTTGGGCCACAGCTCCATCTCCGAGGCCCTCGATGGGCTGTGGTGTGTGTGGGGTGGTGGAAGCTGTGGGGTGGGGGAGGTGCTGTGACGTTAGAGAAAGGACAGGGAGTCTGTCTGTGGTTGGGGTTGGAACACTGAAAACTCAAAGAAAAGATCTTCTTCTTTTTCATACAGAACTCCCGGTGATACCCCTGTACTCGAGCTAGGGTAGACCCGAGGCGGGGGCCCTAGGGGGCTAGCGCTACCCAGGTCTAGGAGGAGAACACTTCGAATCAGCGAGCAGTGGTTCGAATCAGCGACCACGAATCAGCGACCAGATTTCGCGAATCAGCGACCAGCTTTTCCGAGGTGGCCGATTCCTGGTGTCCGATTCGGACACCGCCCGGTCTAGGGAGGCCTATGCCTGCGCCTATCCCAGGCCTATGCCTAGCGCTAGCCATAAGCCTTAGGCCTATGGGTAGCGCTACCCATAGGCCCTTGGCCTAGGTGTACCCTACCCAGAGGCGTCTCCCAGCCCCTGAGACGCCGTCAAACGAAACCCGGCTGAAAATGACCTCGTCAAGCACAATCCGAGTGAAAAGGGGCTCGTCACACAGAATTCGAGTCAAAGGCCGCCGTCAAACAGAATCCTTTGTCGCAAGGATTCTGTCGACCAGCATCCTAGTTAAAGGCATCCGTCACACAGAATTCTTGTTAAAAGAGCACCGTCGAGCCAAGTCCTTCTGAAAAGGAACCTGTCACACAGACTTCTGGTTCAACGGGTCTCGTCCAATATTATAGCTCAAACAATGCCAACACTGAACTTGAATTGTTCGTTGATGCTCTTTGTTGTTGCAGGGTCATGTCACAGTCATATCACTTACTGTAACTGTAACTATCTGGAGCTGCTCTTTGATGCCCTTGGACGTTTCATGTCACTCCTTCATGAATGTCAAACCTCTTTCATGTCACTGAACTAGAACTGCTCTGGAATTTCTTTGACGCTTCAATTGATGTCCCTGATTATGTTCATGACCTGGAGTGCACTGCAGAGTCTTGTGATCATGATAGCCGCACAGCTAAACAGCTGGTGGATGCCGCGCCGGAACATGTGCGGGGAACGATTTTGACATCCCACGCCGAGAGCATCAAGGGGCAGATGGCTGGGCAGACCCTGAACCAAGAGGAGGTCACTACACTGACGAGCCTCGTGAGTGGCAGCTCTTTCACCGATGACAAGAAAGCAATGCTGCTGGTACAGTTGAGTCGTTGAAGTTGCAGGCCTTACATGGGCAGAGCGGTTGCGGCGCCCAATGGCTGCTCAGGGCGTCGGTGGAAACCTGGGTGCTGCCCGAGCTTGATCATGTGGTCGAGGGATGGTGAAAAAGACTTGCAGAGCAGCGCAGCATACAATATCATTTTCTATAGGGACACAACCAGGGATTCACCAAAGCACGAACCTGCTTTTCGACGCTTTCTGTTTCCAGGCTTTTTGGAGGACGCCGCGCAGATGACACTCGGTTTCGTTCACGCTGTGGCTGCCGTTGTTTGTCTTCGCGTCTGTTGAGGCCCAAGCGGGCGGCGCACTGCGCCCGCACGCTGCTGGCGCACATGGCTGGCGAGCTTGCGAACCCCCATCCACCACCAGCACCACCCACGACCATCGCCACCAGCGCCAGGAAGCACCACCAAGCAGCGCCATCACCATCATCCCCACCATCATCACCACCACCAGCACCGCGATCTCCACCTTGCGTCGAGATCTTTATACTTTCTGCTGCTACACCTCTAGACCTCCAACACATGGACTTCGCTTGCCGGGATGATCCTTTTTCTTTGTCGCGTCTTTTGGGTACGGGCTGCTGTGCCGCGGTTTGCAAGCGCATTGTCTTTGCGGGTACGAGTGCGCTGAGCGGATGCCCCGTCGTCGGCGCGAGGCGGGGCTGCCCAGCTATCCGCAGCTCGCAGTGGATGCCTGGACGCTCGCAGTGGAAGACCTCTTGGGATGCCTGGACGCTCGCAGTGGAAGACCTCTTGGGCGCGCGGGCTCCTGCGCTCTTCGCTACGCTGCTGCGCTCCTGCTCGTCCGGCGATGGGATTAATGTGGTTGCCGGGGTCGGCCCCGACCTGGTGCTCACAGTGGTCCTGCTGTTCGACCGGGGCCTGTGACCAGGATTCTGTTGGACGGGGGCTGGGAGAGTCCTATGGGTAGGCGACGTCAGGCCTAGGATAGGCGTATCGGTAGCGCTGGGCATACGCCTACAATAGCACTACGTATCGGTAGCGCTAGAATAGGCCTAGGATAGGCCTATGCCTAGGGTATCCTAGGCCCTAGGATAAGCTAGGCCTGTGGATAAGGTATCCTAGCCCTTAGGATAGGCCTATGGATAGGGTACAGGTAGGTTCCGGGAGTTCTATCCCCTTCTTTTTGGTTGAGCATTGCTGGTGAGAAAGCGCTTTCTTTTTCTACTTAAAATCCACATCGCGGTTCGCTGGTGAGAAAGCGTTTTCTTTTCCCGCTAAAAGTTCAAAGAAACATGGCTGCTGCTGCTGGGTAGCTGCTGCTTGGTTGTGCTGCTGCTTGGTAGCTGCTGCTTCTGCTGCTGCTGCTGCTTGGTAGCTGCTGCTGCTGCTGCTTGCTAGCTGCTGCTGCTGCTGCTTGCTAGCTGGAAGATGTCAAGGCTGAGCCAGGTACACACCCAGAGGGCGGACCGGTCATCCTCAACAGAAATCCAACTACGAGTTTTTTAACCACAACAACTTTAATATAGGCTATTGTAGCTGGAATTACCACGGCTGCTGGCACCAAACTTGCCCTCCAATTGATACTCACAAAGGGATTTAAAGGAAACGCTCGTCCCTTTTCGTTTAGGCTTCGGAACATCCACTGGGCCGTCACTTCGGGCCATCACATCGGAAAGGTTCAACGAAGAATCTGAGCTGCTTGAATTGCATGAGTTAGTGAGGTTGAGCCGGTGGGTGATTAGGTTCAGTGAATCTGGATTCGGAAAGTTGCAAGGTGGGGCAAGAAAGGCATTATTTTTTTTAAAAAACTCATTTTTCCCACATGAACCAAGTTTAACATGTGTAACATGTCTAACATTGTCTTTTGAAGAAGGTTTTTCAGCAAGATCATGAGGGTCTTCTGCACGAACTCTTTCCTGCTTGCTGCGCTTGCTCTGACCCTCTCCTCCATGACTTTGTGTCTTCCAGATTGCATGACATCAACCCATGTTTCTACAATCATGGTGTCTCAGAGGGAACATTTCTCAGCCCATCTTGTGATGCAAGACGCATAGTGGCTCCAGCATTTTCAGAGTGGCTTCCATCAAAGTAGATGACAACCATGTGCTTCAAATCAAAGTAGTTATGTCTTCTTCCTTTTTGGATTTCACCTGTTGGTTGTAAGATGTTGTAAGAAAAACATTTGAATTTTCACCTTCCAAACTTCAGGCAGAAACCCTTTGAGAATCCACCCCTCTGCCGTCTCGTGTGACGACACGGCCCGCCAGGCCGCCGATGAGATGATCAAGGCAATGCCACGAGCCATGCGGAGTGGCGCGGAGTGGCACCCTTCGATCGGGTGATGAAACCAAGACTTGATGAAGGAAAATCCTAGACCTACTAGTTGACCGAGAGTATGTGAAGCTTGGACCTACTGGTTGAAGGAAGAGGTTGCTGGAAAATACACACCTGAGGTGGAGAGGAGCTATCCTGCAAAAAAGGACGGAACTTTGGTAGATCCGATCGCTGCAAGTCCGAGCCAAGCCCTTCCACTCATTTGGGGGGTGGGCACGGGGTCGAACTCCAGGCTAAGTCATAAGGGTGGACATCACTTTCTGTGTGGTGGGATGGTTAGCAGTCTTTTGAGATTTCTTCCTTGAGGTGCAGGCTTGCTGGTGTATATGGCCTGTATTCACCGTCCGATGCTGAATATCTAAAATTGACTAGGATCTCAAGCTTCAACCAGATGTTGTTCCAAAGAGAAGCATCCTGGCATGCTCACATCTTGGACCTGTGAGGAATTTTACTCTGAAAGTATTCTACCCTGGCTACCCATCCACCAAACAATGCTCGGAAGGCCTTGTTTTCGACCAACAAACCTTGGGTGCCTTTTCGGAAGGCCCGCCTAGCAGACACCTGGGAGCCGGACCCTAACAATCCCCTGCACGTCTGCAGCAGCTGACAAGAGTGGCCTGGAACAAAGCTCTTGGGGAAAACGGAGGGAAGAGGAGGATTGGGGAAAAGGTCAAGGCTACAATCGTCCAGTTTCTTTGTTGTTGGTCAACGCCAGAAGTTGTTGGTCGAAGCTGTAATCTGAGTGGAGGAAGACATTTGTATGAGCCAAGCCCTTTGAAAAGGAGATGTCATCCACGTATTGTAAGCACTGGGGAAAAGGACATCATCAATGATTCGGTGGGCCTCCTTTTTTGAGGACTTAGTCAAACGAGCCTCCGCAAGTGAGCTGCACCCTCCGCTGGTGAGCAGTTCCCAGTCTTCCAAGCTCATGTGTGTTCCCATACCCGGCATCTTTGCGTGACCATACCTGATGTGCCATGTTTCTTGAGACACAGTATCTCACCTGACCAATGATCTGATGAAGGGGTTTCAGGACAAGTTACGTGGTTTCAACGACGTTCAGCGATGTGTCCTCGATTCTGTTTTCTGCCCTTTGAACGTGGCCTCCAACCTGAGGTAGATACTGAGTGATGGTCCTGTCTGCAGCGAGGGCAGTGTTCTTGCGGATGGAAAGGATGGTACACCCACATTGTAATCCAGGATTTTTGAGTGATTTTGCCACACAGGAAGATTCACCCCTTGCTTCATGACCAGTTTAAGCAACATGAACAGGATCTGCCAATAGTGGTGGATGATTGTGACTAGCTCAGTTTCTGCACAATATATTCTTTTGGGCACTTCTTTATGAGGCCACCGATGTGATCCTTACGACCGATGTTTTGTTTTTGTTTTTTTTTCCAGAAGATGAAGACATTCAGTATTTAGTAAAGGTGCCAAGATTCTGCCAAGATGCTTGTCTCCAAGTGGGTGTAGCCATGCTCAGCCGGTGTAGCCATCACCCGCTGCAAGCTGGGAGCAGTGGGTGAGCAAACTTTTTTTCTTTTCTTCTCCGAAGCTTTCTCCCTCAATCTCTGAATGAAGGTTCCAACTTTATCATCCTAGGTCCTAGGTATAATGGACTATGGCATATGGCTATGGAGTGTTCGAATCTATGGATGTCCTTTTCATCCACACTTTAAAGCTATACACGTTATCCCTGCGGTTCTAGTTGTTGCTTTTCTGGGGTGGACGGTTCAGTGAGTGTGAAGCTTTCTATTGGCAAAGCTTAAAGAAATTGAACATCGCGGGCTTTGTAAGCCGGCTTCACCACATACACCCGAGAATTATATAACATGGAACCAGAAAGTGGACCTTTGGAAGACTATTTCCCTCTACAACCCAGTGGTTTTCAGGTTCCATGTTAAGTTTCCTGGGTGTACATTTCAACTCGTGAATGAACCATCGTGTCTTTGCTTGCAGGCAGGTCCTTTCGTGGTCTCCGAGGGTGGGGCTGCATGTGGTCCGTCAAGCGAGTCGGGCAGCCATGGAGGAGAAGGAGTCCCTACGAATGGATCAACGAACCTGTAGAAGCCATCTCTACACTCTACACGCTTCAACTTGTCTGAATATAGGGGAACTTGCGAGTCGACACACCTGACGCAAGGGAGGTGAGATACTCTACCATCCGGGACATTTCGACAGCAGCACTATCTCTTCACCTTCGTTTGGATCAAATAGGCATCAGAAGTAGAAAGAGAGATCCACAATAGCCTTCTTGGGGCTTCGTTGAGTGAAGCAAGGGATGAACATTTTCTGTTCTTACAAGTGAACCCATGAATGACATTTCAGCTTCAGCCCTGCGGGTACGAGATTTACAGCAAAGCAGTCGTCGTAGCAGCCAGCCCTGTTCCAAGAGATGCTCGCTGCAGCCAACCATCGAACCTCCATGCGGTTCTCCCCCTCAGAGGCCACCCCACTCGAGCGACAGACGCGGGGCATCCAACACGTTGCCGTCCGCCCAATGACCTGCAAGCAGCTACCAGCACCAGCTGCTGGTGGCGCGCTCGTGGGGAGGGAGCTTTCTGGGACGACAGGTGGAGGAATGCCCTTGCTTTGGGTCGGATGTGCACCATGGGAAACCACTGATTTTGGCTGAAGAAAGTCGGCTTCAAGTCGGTGTCCATGTGCAAGGGGCCAAGGGTGCACATCCATCGCCGACGTGGATTTGCTGGATGATTGGAAGCTCAGACAGGGCACTCAATTAGTGCTGAAAGGGCAACCCCATTTCCCAACATGTCCAATGTGAGGCCAATCAAGATTGTAACTACATACTGTGAGTGAACCTGTCACACTTTGGGATGACTATTCTGTGTCAGTGTGAGCGTTTTTGACGTCTCATCAGCAAATCGACTGTCTGGTCACTCGGATTTTCGGAGTGCCTACTATCATGGGCTGCTCCCTCCAAGTACGTAGGCAGGATGATTGGAGCTGCACCAAATCATTCTTTCACTGATCGTTGGCCACGCGCAACGCGTTTCAACGCTCCGGCCGCTGCTCCGACCATCGAGGTGTGTTTCACCGCAAAGTGTGTTTCGCCGACGCCGAAGTGAACAGATCACGCAAGGTGAAGCAGGCAGTTTGGCGACAAAATAATCCAAGTGGCCGACTCCGTCGTGACAAAGGCTTGTGGTGAAGAGTGTTTGGGATAGACTTCTTCTGGGTGTCTCAAAGGAAGGGGCAACCTTCAGTTTTTCTCGAAGCAAAAGGGAGTGCGGGTGAGAACGTACACGGTCTTGTGCTCGCATCGAATAGAGTATCTAGAGCTCGAGCATTTTGGGGCACGTGAACCACCTCTGGGTGTTTTGGATTAGTCCAGGAGCGAGCCTGCGCTGGCAGATGCCAGTGGGCCTGGCGGCCATTTGCGTGCTTGGTGCGCAAAGGAGGCTGGACATGTCGTGCACCGAGAAGTCTCAAACAAATAGGCGGAGGTAGGGTTTGAAGCTGGAGGAAACAGCAAAGAGTCCCCAAGGTCTTTGAAGGAGTGAAGTCCGCTGAAAGCTAGCTACAGTTTACTTTTCTCTGTTTATCTCTTCTAAACCACATCCAACCACAGTCTTCTGTGAGGCAAAGGCTTGTAGAAACTTGGTCAGCAGTCGACTGGATGAAGTTGAGCCGATTTGTCGAGTTCAGCAGTAGCCGAGTAACATTCTCAGTGAAATTAGTAATTAGCAGAATAGACCAGGCCCCATTTCCTTAGAGCAAAACGATGTGAAGGTGGGGGCCATGCCGGGCCATGTCGACTTGGAGGAGAGCTCTGTTGGTTTTCTCTATGGGTTGCTCCCTTCAATCTGCACACGTTCCGGATCTAGGGCTAGGACCAACGATCAAGTGCCGGAAGCAAGCGCCGTTTTTCCTCTAGCCGGCCATGGTCTTCAGGACCCCAACTCCAGGTTGCTCATTTCCTTTTTCTTTCTTAGTGGGCCAAACACAAAACATGCTAGGTGAAGAACTCAGGATGGGCATGTCTATTCACACGAGGGATTTTCACATCGAGACGATGGATTTGTGTTGAAGTAAGAGGGGTATTGCCCCTGGGTGTTGAGCTGGCTGCCTGGACATTTGGGGTCCCGGCAGGCGAGTGGCACGGGCAGCAGAAGAGACCAAGAAGAAGGCCGTTGAAGACATCATGAGCTGAGACATGTTGACGACTACGTGTTTTGAGACACATGTTCAAGACATATCGTCAACACTCTTACAAGGCTTCTTTGGGGTGTGCAGTTGCTTAGGCTTAGATGGAAGGCCGCCCATATCAGCTTTTTCCCAACTCTCGTGACCGAGCCCACTTTGGGTCAGGGTCGGGCTGTTCCTCTGGGAGCCTGCTTTGGAAGGCCTTGGATTGGGCGATTTAGACCTCCGCAGGTGAGAGTCGAGGTGCTAACATGCACCGATACCAATTAGCAAGCGATCTCACTCGTCCCGCCAGACCAGAAGCATTGCCAAGGCTGGGAGCGGACACGTTCCCGAAGCGCCCGAAGCGCCCGAGTGTCAAAGCGGGTCCAGGTCGCGTCGCGTCCCAGGTCGGAAGGACATGGATACAAAGCACGTTTGTGGTCCGCTGATTTTTCTTGAAGCTTCTTGTTAGTAATGCCAGGAGCTACGCTCGTAGCGATGGTACTCGTGTTACGTTCGTAGCTTCTGGCAAAGACTGAACTCTCGACCCACAGAGAAAGGAGAAACCACACATTGACCGTCATTGACCTCTGTAATGGACCAGGGATTCTTTTTGCAACGCCCATGATTGACACGGCTAGGCTTCAGGATCTTCAAAAGATCGAGATGGAGATTGCTGTATGTAGCTGTTCGAAAGGGGAAGTTCCAAAGTTCCCTTACCCAAATGTAAGGATACTTAAGCACTGATACATAACTTCAGAGCCCTTTATATACATGAACCCATCACTCATGACCCTGCACCTGTGCAGAAAGTGCAGAAAGACCCAGGCTGGAATAGTGGAAGTGAAGCCCAAAAGCTGAACTGAGTCCCAACTCTGGCAAGGTAAACGGAGCTCTACAGGATTCCTGAAATCTGAACAGGGTAGGGACACTAGCAGTTGGACTTCTTTCAGCTCGGCTCTTTCAAATACAAGGGATACGAATCCCGAGCTGAATTTGTCGGTCCCTGATAAAAAAGCCCTGACCTCACGCTGCTCCCCAGGAGACCTTGGCGCGACTTCGGTCGCGTAGCCCACGAACCACGCCCAAGGGCCAGGCGCGCAGAGGGGATGCAACGGGGACTGGCGAGCGCCGGGACTGGATTTGGAGATGCACGGAAGGTTGGACACCTACTGAGTAGACCTACTGTTTTGTTTTTGAACTCTATTTGGTTGTTTGTTCCATGACCACATCACATACCTTTTCCACCCCCTTTTCCCTTCTTTGGATGAAGCTCCGTTCATACCTTTCTCATGTAGCTGACCTACCAAAACCGACCGTCCAACCCCAAAAAGCTCCGCGTTCTTCCGCGTTCTTCCGCTCCGCTGCCGCCGTCCCTCGAGGCGAAGAAGAAGATGCCGCCGGCGCCGGACCCCTACGAGCTCGTGCGGGGCACCGAACTCGTTGGTGGTGACGAGGGTGAGGAGGGCGAGGCGACGATCGGTGAGGCGTTGCTCGGGTGCAACTTGTTGCTCGGGTGATGAGGCCTTGTTTTCGGGGTCCATGAGGAGGAAGAGAGACACCAAACAAAGATCCCTTCCAAGCCAAGCACAATCCTTTCCTTTCTTCCTTGGTGTGGCGTGGTGTTGTTTTCCCAGCCAATAGCTTGCTAGATAGGACAAGTTCTACTTTCTACAGGCAAAAACCAACGACGCATGCTATTTCAAATTCAGACTAGCACAGAAGCACTTGTGGTTCTTGGTCGTCCGGCCACATCCTCTTCCTTCGGTGCATCGGCCCTCCGTCCTCTCCCTCTCCCTCCGAGGATGAGGAGGGCCGGAAGATCTTCCCATGGCCGAAGTCTTTCGCTGAGATTGTCACTGGGCAGAACCCATGTCGCCAACGCCACACCCGGAAGACTGGGGGGGAGGACGGTCTTGGGAAAGGGCGATCGCTTGAGGCGGGCGAGGTCGGGGGGGGCCCGGGCACTTGGCTGTTTTTGTGCTCTGACTGTAGATGCATGGCCTGATTTCTATGGACACGAGGAAACACCTTTGGACCATAGTCATCCTCAAGTAGGTCGGAGCTTGGTGTTTCAACACCCGACATGGCGGTGGCGGCGGCGTTTGAGGTGCAAACGGCTTGCTTCTCGCGGTGCTGGCCTGGCTTAAACGTTGGCCTCGTACCGATCGTGAGTTCGGACCCGTCGACGGACGAGCCGTAGTGGTGCAACAGATCCCATCTATTGGTGTGGCTCCAAACATAGGGCACACCATCCTCAACCATCTCCAACCATCCCCCAACCCCACAAAAAAGCAACTCACATCGATGAGCCTAATGGTTCTGGGTGGGTCTGGGTGGGTCTTGGCATGTCATGGCATGGTCATGGTCAGAATATTGCGTTTTCCGCGTGCCAGGACCATGAACCTGATCATGGAGGGTGAGACGCGCATTGAGGCAGGGCCCATGAACATCAGGTGGTGACCACCTAGTGAGCTTGCGAAGGGCATTTCTGGGATGCTGCGATGAGTTCTTGACTTGAACACTTCCTTGATTTCGTAGGCATCCGATCGTTTGCGGGACCAACCCTTCCATCTACAAAAATCATCAAAAATCCATGTATTTCCCTCATTTGATTCACCTGCACCGCTGGGTAGGTCCTGTCCCAGCACTGCGGCCGATCGATCTGGTTTTCGGCCGCTTTCGCCGCCGGCCTCGCTGCCGGCCTCGCTGCCGCCGCGCCTCCCCGCGCGCGCACGCCGATCGTCAGGTGTGCTTCCCTCCGCTGCCCCTGGCGGACTTGGATTGGAACATCTGCGACCTCACCGAGACGAGGCGGGACGGAGCCGTGACGAGGGGAGTGGGTCAGCAAAAAGAGTAGCGTCCTGGTTTCTGGCGACGAGTTTCAGAGTCCAAGGTAAGCAAGGTACGGGTACCTTACCTCATTGTTTCTTGGTCCGTTTTTGATGCCAGGAGCATGGCTCACTCAGGTGCTTCACTCGTGATGAGATTCCTTTGAGTCCATCTGTCGGGAGGTTTCTTCGGGAGGTTGCCGTGGTCGTAGCCTGTAGCATGTGCGGCTGCCTTGAGCAGTGTGGCATGCAGGGTGGTGGATTCCAACATCCAACATGCCATTGCCTTTGCGAAGCTGATGATCAAGGACAGGTTGGTTTGGGTGAGACGCTTACTCCCGGGAAGAGACCCACATGGAACCTGAAATGTGCACTTGGAAGACTATTTTCCTCTGCAGCCCCGTGGTTTTCAGGTTCCATGTAAATCTTCCCAAGTGGTAGTTTGGATGTAATGCCCGACTCAAAGTATGGCAAGTGCAGGGACTTATTGTCCAAACTCCGATGCCTCATGTTTCTCAGAAGAATTGAGGGAGGAGACGTGAGTCAATTGGCATGACAATCTCAGCCAAAGGCAGCGCCAGTCATGTGCTGAAACGTTCTTGTCGCGAAGCCTAAAATCATAATCGACAGCAGGATATCACCGAGTTTTCTGAGTGGAGTTTCCAGCATTTAGATATTTGGAAGCATTTTTCATGTCTATGATTGAGATGTACTGTACGTACAGTAAAGTAGGACAGCCCAAATTGTGGGTATAGGGAAGCCAGAGACCAAGAACTGGACATTGGGTGGTGAACAGCAGGAAGACACTCGACCACTCGACGCCCAGTGACCAAACTGTGATGACCACTCGTTCAGCTGGAGATTGCTCGTGAAGGCGGGATGGTGGGTGCCAGGACAAGAGGTCCTTCCCGCAGCTGAACGCGGAAGAGGCCGCCGCTGTCCGTAGGTTTTCGTGCGGTCCATCTCGAAGAACCCTCAGGTCTCCCAGTCGAATGAAAAAGAAGGAACTGGGACATCGTCTTACTAATGGTGGACACACGTGGACACCAAAAATCCCACACATGGTCAAGGCTTTCTCATTTGCTCCCATGAAACGCCAAGCGCACTGGGTCACCAGGATCGAGTGCGCTCAGCCTGGGTCACCAGGTTGTTTTTTTTCTCAGCTCGGTCGCGTCGCCGTTTCCGTCGCGTTTCTGAGCTTCGGCCCAGACTCAGAAGAAGGCGATGGCCCGGCCCCGAGAAGAGATTCTCGCATCCATGACTGGAGGATAATTAGTGTGCTTCGTGTGCTTCTTGTTGCTTGTGACTGGAGGATATGAGGATTTAAAATCAAAAATCGGTATAAGTCCACAAACCGTTTGTAGTTCATTGCGGGCAATTAATCTCTTCTCTGATATCAAATGAGACCAAGAATCCCAAGAACACAGAGGGCCATTTCGATGGCCATGGCATGCCGCGGCCATGTTGCTTGGGCACATTTGCACCAAGGACGGGGCTCCCCTGCAAGAGCCAGACAAGATCAAGGGGCTGCTTGGAGGGGGTTCAAACCGCCGAGAAGGGTCGAGAAGGACCATGGGGATTTCTTTGGTTTTCCAAGGAAGTTGAAGCTTTTTTCTCACCACTGCCAGGTGGGGCAGCATTTTGCAGGTTCACGGAGTGACAGCCCCACGAGGCTTTCCGAGTTACGGGGGCCTTCGAAGCTTCTTTTGGGCGGCCAAAACGCCGAAAGCGAACGAGGCTCTACCCCCAGACCCCCAGATCTCTCGCAGCAGTCGGGAAAGAAGAAATTTTGATCTCCGCCTCTTCGGTGTTCGTCTTCGATATGAGGCTCTTGGAGCGCCGCTTCAAGAAGAAGCCCGACGGCGACCTGGGGCGCACCGTGGGGGGGACCCGGGGCTGACCGCAGGGGTTGACACGGGGTTGACCGGGCCTGGGCTGAGGCTTGGGTTGTGTGTTCTTTTGGGTTCAGATCATGCACAGCTGCTTCTATTTTGGCTGGAGGGAGGGTAAACCTGAATATTTTGGACTGCTGGGAAGAGGACTTACTTTCCACCAGGCAACAGTTGGAAGGTCAACTCCTGCACTATGAGGGGTCAGGTACGTGATTCTGGCTGAAGGGCCATAATGAACAGTGAAAATGTCTCGTATCTTCGACCCGTGTTCTACCACAAGAAAGCCGTCTCAGTCTCCAGTTGGAAGGCCCTAAGAAGCACAAAACAAGCCTTCTTTCGCCTCGGTTCATAAGATTTCATAAGGTTTATCACGCGGTAGGACAACAATCTACGAGTCTTGATGACTGGCCAACCCATACTACTACTATCCTGCCATGTTTGTCCCACGAAGTGGCACTGCTTCCCATCACCCTTGGCTCTCGATCTATCGCTGGGCCGCGCAGCTTGCCCGGGCTTGATTTCGGGCCATCGCTTGCCTCGGCGGCCTTCATGACAAAACCCAAGGCATCGGACAAGACCCAAAGGCATCAGACACCCAAACCACCTGGATGGATGTACGATGTCCAGCCGCAACAACGGAGCTGTTTGACCTTGGACCCTCATAGTATGCCACATGCGAGTCTCGTTTCGTGTCTCAACAAGAGCTCGGGTGGAAGGAGCTGCCCGGCAGACCCAAGAGATGCCCTGTGACGAATGCGTCCGAGACTTGGGCAGAGAAGGGTGGAACCCACCGAGCCCACCCGTTGTTGGGAACAGATGTCCCCCCCCTTTGGCCAGAGGTGCTAGTTGGGAGAAGCCGACCTCCTTGATTTTTTGACACAGAGAGTGAGAGAGAGAGAGAGAGCGCAAGAAGGGGGGGGCACATTTGCATTCCAAGGGTCTACTGTTTCAGTTCCAGCCAACTTAGCCAACTACCGTACCCAAGCACAGCCTGCCGAACAAACACACGAACGGCTCCTCCGCGCCATGGACTTGTGAGCCCCAGACTCGTGCGATGTGGGTTCAACTGGCGACAGAGGAGGAGCGGATTCCACTCTGCGGCCGTGTTTGGTTAGTGAAGAAGGGCTTGATCGGGCAAAGATAAAAGATGATCAAAGATCTACCCCTGGTCATCCAGTCTTAAACATCTTGCGTCCTCATCCAGTTGGTCCTCACCGTCGGCCAACGGTCGGCCACGAAATGGAGGACCTGCCGGCACGGGGCGCGGCGCGGCGCTTCCAGCTGCGCGAGGGCCCGGCGCTCTGTGTGCTGAGAGGCGAAGCGGCGAGGGCGTGGGGAGGGCGTGGGGACGGCGAAGTGCAGCGGGAGACCATCAGGGAGGCTCCGGGAGGTAGAAGACCAAGTAGACGATCGAAGACCAGACCGCAAGAAGTGGTTTTCAAGTGCATGGGCTTGCGGGTCACTGAGAGGTGGTTGCGATGAAGATGTGACGATTCTCGAGGAGGGCAACTGCATTAGCCTCTGGAAAAGGGTTTTGTAATATTTTTTAATGATGTTGCCTGTAGACATGGCAAGTTGGGATGGAGGGAGCAGAGATTGTCACCAGTTGCACCAAATTAGCATTCTTTGAAGGAATCTGTCTCTTGATCCCCGAAGAGCAGCCCTCCAAGAGGAGGAGAAGGAGAAGAAGGAGGAGGAGAAGGAGGAGGAGTAGCAGGAGGAGTAGCAGGAGGAGGAAGCAGAAGCGCATAGAGACGGAAAGAATTTTCAGAGGGCAGAAGAAGACAGTAAGAATATGCCTTTGGAACCACTTGCGCGGCCATCTTTTCTGGTACACTCTTGCGGAACACTCTTGTGGGACACTCTTGTAGGACCCTCTTGTGGGTCGCTCTTGTGGGACACTCTTGTGGGACCCTCTTTTCGGACACTCTTATGGGACACTCTCGTAGGACAGGTCACTCTTGTAAACAAAGAAGGCGAGTTGGCGGAACAGGCCGCGGTGCTGCTGGATTTCCTGGAGAAGCTGCACGCCCTCTGTGAAGAAGTCTGCTACAAGCTTCGAACTCTGTCCTTGCAACCTTCGGTGCAGCCCGTGGCAACGCAAACCAAGTTGAAGCCCCTCGCAGCAGATGCTGCTCCAAATGCTTGCGAAGCGAATCTTTGCATTCACGCGGTCGTCCTAGAATATTGTCGACCTATGAAACGCTGAGTGCAATTTGTTACGTGTGCAACACCTTTGGCATGGAAGGATGGAAAAATCACGCTGTGGAGTTTACGACTTAGGTAGGTAGGTGGAGGAGGATCAGCGGCTGCCGCGCTAAGATGTTTTTTGGTCTTGATGCTGCTGCTCTTGGGCTGCGCTTGGCTAGCTATGTAGTATATTGGTCTTGATGCTCTCTTGGTGCTGCTCTTAGGCTACTCAATTTCTATTGTCGCTGCGCGGTTTGTGAAGAAATGCTTGAACATGTTCCCCGGTTTGCTGTTATCCTCTGGCGGCGCTGCCAAACCCTGGGCCCTTGTTTTGTTTTTGTGGTAAGCCATCAGTCCTCCTTTTCTCCTCCTCCTTTCCTCGCGCCACGCTTGCGAGCCTTGTGCCCTTCTCTTGTCCTCGTGGCCATGCTGTCGAATTCTTTGCCCTCCTCTTGTCCTCCTGCCCTGTGTCCTCTTTCTCCTGGCGCCCTCCGTTTTCAAATCCCTGCCACACTTGCAAACCCTGTGCCCTGTCCTCCTGCTGTCCTCCACCCCAGCCGCGCTTGCAAACCCTGTTACTTCTCGTGCCATGCTTCAGACCCCGTCTCCTTGTGTTGTCTTCCTGGTGTGTTTTTCGCGCTCGCGAATCCTCTTGTTGTGCAGACGGTGTGCAGTTCTGCAGATGACAACACGATGGAGGAGGGGGACAACATTCTCGACAAGATCTGGGACCTGGGATTAGCTTTCTGGGCTCTGTCCAAAGTGTCATGCTGGCTCCAACAGTGGCAGGCTCATAGGAATACTTGATTCCCACCAAACCGGCTAGCTTGACAGGGTGATGTTGACCCTACCGAATTTCAGGATCAAGTCGAACATGTTTCGCAGTGAAGCCCAGCTGAAATGACAGGCAAAGATGGGGAACTCTATGTGACCGAGGATGCCGTGCCGCCCTTGTGCCTTGGGTCGCCAATGCCCCGCGGTGGTCGTATCGACCCGGTGTGCCTGAAATTGAATGAAATTGACATTTTCGACTCAGGGTGGTCACCATTACCATGGTGTTTGTTTTGACTACCATGGTTATTGTTTCTAGTCACCAGTATTGAATTCGCATTATAGCATTATAGCGACAAGGTCGGGAGATTGACCCGTGTTTTGATGTGTTTGGGTGTTCTTCTGTTGGTGATTCCAGTGGTCTTTGTGCTATTTCACTTCATGTCATCTTCAACACAATACGTCGATTTTTCAATACCTGCCGCACGCCACTCTTCGTGCGAGTTGCACCCTGTCCGGGGCGCCAAGGCGGCAGCCTCTGACTGGCCACGGCTGCGTGCTGGATGGGCGGCTGCTGCGCGCGCAGTGCCGGGTCTTCGGGACCAAGTTTGACTTGCGGAACGGGGAGGCGCTGGGACCGTGCAGCGCGGGGTGGGTGGAAGGGCAGGAGATCCTCGATCTAGGACTTGGTTGGAGAGAATAACCAATTTCCGTGGAGCATGAGTACCAATATGGGGCATTTCAAAAAATCCAGACAGGTGTAATATTCCAAGCAGGTGTATGCCCATTCTCCGTGGGATTTCCGTGGGAGGGCGTAGCGCGGCGGAAGGTGTCGCTCGGTCTGCTTGGTCCAGTCCCCAACAGGGTCCAACAAGTCCACCTACCATCAACTGTGGTGATCTTTTACGAGTCTTGCGTCCCAATACTCAGTTCCTCGGTGCCTTTTGCCATAAACCCAGAATTCCTTTATATAGTCCTTTTCAGTTTGGCAAAACACGGTGTGGGACTTCGTATGTTGTTCCGACGAATATATGATTGCCTTCGCCTTCGTTGGCTCCAAAGGACTCAGTATCTATCCTTGTGTGATTGCCTTGGGCCAGCGCGAAGCGATGGATGGACAAGTTACACAAGTTGGGATACCATAGGCACGTCAAATCCTATTGAATCACAACTTGCGCTACTCTCCCGCCTGCAGGTCATGGGCCCATGGTGCCCACTGGAGGCATGTGCCCTGCGTCGACTTCCCTTTTCTGCTGCTTTTGCCACAGCGGAGTGAAGACATGTGAAGAAGGACTGTGGCTGCAAAAGCCAAGGGCTTTAGGTAGAGAGACTCCCAGGATTCCTGCCAACAGTCATTCTTTTTCGGGCCACCTGATGTTTTTGTTTCTCTAGTCCCTGTTCACAGCCCCGAATTTTGGCACCTACGCTGCTCCCAGTCCTCACCGCTCCTGCTGGTGCTGCTCCTACGCCTCTTGCTACTCCTGCTGCGGCTGCTCTGGGCGCCTGGAACGGAGCGGAAGCTGCGGAGCTTTCGGAGCCGGTGGCACCAGGGGAAGTTGGAGGCCGAAGAGGGAATGGATGAGGAGCCAAAAACGGAAAGCAAGAGCTTTGCATGTGAGGTGTATTGAGGTGTACAGACCAGGACCCACATGTGAGTTGGGTGGCTCATGGACACCCCTAATCCAACGGCTGAGGCTAAGGAACCTATTCATAAACAACCCTTGGGCGGCGATGGTGTGCAATCCTATACATTCTCTTAGTTCAGTCTTTGGACACTTTAACCCTCTCGATTGGGGTGTATACCCACCTGCATTGGCACTGCCTGCATGTCGAAGTTCTCTCCACTCAACATGGTCACCAAGTTCGCTGGTTTGCTTGGGGAATCGCACTTGTCGATCATAAGCCACCACTGACATGGGTTGCTAGACTGTAGGGTTTTTGGGTACCCTCACTGCCCTCACCTCCCAAGAGGCAGAACGAACCAAGGCCCAGACTGACCCAGACTGGCCCAGACTGGTCAGCCGGTGACCGTGTGTCCTTCGGCGCAGGTGGAGTTGAAGCCGTCCGGCCGTCGCGACCGGGAGAGCTTCGTTTTCGCCTTCGCCAGGTGCGGGGCCGAGGTGTCTCTGGTGCCGTGGGTGTGTAGTGAACCTCATAGGGAGAGCGTTCCGGGACCCTGGAAGAAGGGAAATAGACCAGGTCCTACCCATCCCTAGGGTTCTCGTTCATTTTGCTTCCTTTGCAATCCAACCACTGAGTATTGCGCAGTTGCACGTCACCCTTAAGCACCCTGTGTTGTTCGAACATGTTCGAGCTGTCAGTGCAAAAAAGCAGACATCTGTGGAATGGGGATCGGCCTCGGAGTTGTCAACACACTTCTTTCATGGCGACCAGGGCTCGACTGACCCTCCAAATTCTGCCATAGTGTACATTGAAGCAGGTTTTCAGAACAGAGGTTGTGTTCTTGTTTTAAGTCCTACTGGTTCAAGGGCGGATGCAAATCTTCCACACTGAGAGTTCTTTCCTAGCTGAAGAGCAAGTTGGACCCACCAGAAATGATGCTCTAGCAAGACAATTTGAATGCATCCAACCAGCCTACTATCCCGCCCACCTACCCACCTACCAACCTAACATGTCCTACCTGCATGCAATTCAGGTGGCTTTTCGTGCCCAGCACTGAGCTCCGACCTTGGAAAAACGTCGAGGTGGATCTTCAGGCGCGTCGTGCGTCGCGCACGTCACGTGGGGTGCGTCGCACGGGGGAGAGCGGGTTCGTCAGTTCAGGTGAGTTTGAAGGAGAGAAAGACTGTTGCCCAATGATGGGAAGTGATCATGGGCACGCGAAGCAAGGGGAGCTTTGGTGTGGCCACCCGGTTTGCGAGCTTGTCATGTTAAGATGAGGGTTGCTTCGAACATGTCGAGAGCCCTTGTGCTTCTTCGTGTCACCAAGCCACAAGGAAACAAGCCGGCAAAAGCATCAAAAGACCACGTCATCTGTCCAAGAACTCCGCTTCTCATCCAGTTGTGCTTCAGCATTTTGCCAGCCAAAACAGCCATGTCCTGCTGGCCATGTCTAGAGGATCCTTCCACCAACCAGGTGGAGATCGACCGCATGTTGCTGGTGCTTTCAGCGCCCTCTGTGGGAGATAAGTACTACACCAAGCACTTCAAGGAGATTATCGACTTCCACGTGGGCTACGCGAAGGCCATCATAGGCCACGACAACGTGGTGGTGCTTGCCGATGCCGCCACCATGCCTTACCTGCAGGGCCGTCTGCCAGAAGATGTGCTGCTCCAAAGTGATGTGAACGACATTTGGATGCGAGATTTCACCACGGTGAACCCCGAAGATCCTGTACAGTTCAGGTATACATGGGCCAGTATGTCCAAATCCAAGAGCAAGGAGGTTCAAGGAAGCTTTCACCGCTTCGCCGATGGCCACCAGATTCGCCGTGGCACGACGCACTTGGTGCTTGATGGTGGCAACATCGTGGACAACTATGCCGGCCGGGTGATTACCACGACGCGTTTCCTTGAAGACAACAAGCTGACGATGGCGGAAGGTAAGGAGCAGTTGAAAAGTGTGCTCGGGGCCACGGAGGTCGCGATTCTTCCACCTGATGATGAGACCCTGGCCCACAGTGATGGCATGGTGATGTTTTCCGATGCCGACACCTTGCTGGTGAACGACTACCGGAGTGATCCGGCGTTCCGCACACAAGTGCTCGCCGAGCTGAAGAGTGCCTTTCCAGGGGCAAAGATTGTGGAAGTGCCGGTCATCTTCGATGACAAGCCCACCGGCAGCGACATTGGCTCTGCCCACGGCATTAACGTGAACACTACTGCTACCTACAAGCACTTGTATGTGCCCACTTTTGGCATTGAGAATGATGATGTGGCCCTTGAGATGATCCGGGCCAACACCAGCAAAACTGTGGTGCCCGTGCCCGCCAGCGGTGTGTGCCGCATGGGTGGCAGCGTTCGATGCCTCACCTGGCAGCTGACCGGCGAGAATGCTCAGCGGCTCATTGAGGCAGCGCGGAAGTGAACGATCCGCGCTGCAGAACATCCGGGGGGCTTGGGGCGCAGTTTACTGCGCCCGAGCACCTTAGGAAATTGAGCATGGAGAAAAAGGTTTTTCAAGTGCCTTCCGTACCCCAACAGCCAAAGTAGATTTGGTGATTGGAACTCATAGTCTGTTGCAAGGAGGAGAAGTCATCCAAAAACAACTGAGTTTGTTTTTTTGTTCGGTCGTGTAGGATGTTTTTCATGTGTCTAGGATTGTCTAGGTAAAGCTTAAAATAGACTCAACCAGTGGGAGCATCTTCTCTTCCATACGAACCGGGCAGAACCCAGCAGTCATTTATCCCTTTCTCAAGTTAGGCTCAGGGTGCTCTTAGTGTCACAACCGAAGACCTCCACGAACCCTGTGAGACTGGCTTCGAGTGAGTGGCCTATGAACCGGTCTGGACTGTTCACGCCCAGTCTGGATAGCACTTACAACATCCACAGGTGTTAACGTAATAAGAAAGGACGTTAGAATCCATCACTAACTTAAAGAAAAGGAAAAACCACCCAAAGAACCACTAATTGGTACAAAATGACTTGAGGACTGAGGACATCGCTCTGGGAAGTTCGCAGCGCAGTCAGTCGCTCCATCAGTATTTTCGGTTCCCTGCCGCTTGATGCATAGAACTCTCAGCAACCTCAGGAGGACTGCAGTGGAGGACCCTACAAACCTGGACACAGTGGACCCGCTTAGGAGAAACAGCGTTTCTGGAAGAGTTCGAGACTGGCACCTGGGAGGCTTTAGGACACGTAAAGCCTGGTACATGGTGGGACCATCCACGGGGGCCACGCCTGACCCCACCAGGGCCCACCACCGACACGTTGACGTCCGTCACGCCGTGTTGGACGCGGTTCCAAGCTGCAGGTGCAGGTGCTGAAAGACCTCCCGGACACACAAGAGCTGAAGATCTCAGTGGTACCTCGGATGCAAAAGAGTGACCTCAGATCGAACTGCGAGATCGGGTCATCCACATTCTGGTGCTGGGAGGGTGTGGTGTGGATGAAGGCCGTTGTGCTTTGGTTAAGGAAGGTTCAATAAATCCACCCAACACATGTGCCTGTGAGCAGTTTAGAGACAACTCGATCAAGCTCCCTGCTTCCCCACCCTGTGCTCCTCGTTCGAGGTGCCGAAGAGGGCGACGTCTTCGGAGCTGGGCCGCGCCTTTCTACGGCTACCCAAGAGCCCAGTGGCGCAGCGGCTAGGCGGTCAGTCGAGGGAATAGAAAGGCGAATGAGACAACGAATGGGCGGACGGGAATTGCCAAAAGGCAGCTCAGGACATTGTGCCTACCAACGCCGTCACCGCCTTACAGGGACGAATAATACAAGCTTCTTGCTGATAATTGAGGTCAGGGTCAACTGAATATTGTTATGTACAGAGGGCTTTGTTTAACGCTTTCCATCATTATTCTGCTTTGAGGGCAACGACTGAGGGAGAGGGATCAGACAAAAACAAAGAGGTATCAACTAAAAACAAATAGGGATCAGCAAAAAACAACTAGGGATCAATAACAAAACAAACAGGCATTAAACAACATTACTTAGGAGAGACAAAGAAAGAAATAAATAAATAAAGAAAGAAAGACAGAAAGAAAGAAACACAGAAAAGAAAAGAACGCCAGACAGACAGAAAGAAAGACAGAAGGAACGAAAGAATGAAAGACAGCAAGACAGATGCGAGAGGCTAGGCAAATTTTACGTTCTGCGTTGGTAGGAAAGGGCATTGAAGTACAGCATTGCTTACATCTGAGATGCCTTAAAGCCAAAACTTAGGTGAGAGCCAGTAGCCAGTCCAACGTAGCAGCCCTTGTGTGTGCCGCCTGAGGGCAAAATCTAGACGAGGACGGAGTCATTCGGTAGCAGACCTTTTGTGAGCCACAACAACAACAACTATATACTGCTCCTACTGCTACTGCTACTGCTACTGCTACTCCTACTACTACTACCACTACTACTACCTACTACCTACTACCTACTACCTACTACCTACTACCTACTACCTACTACCTAC